CACAATTATCTGTGAAATAGTATGTTGGAGGTTTAACTTGAGCTGAGTGGCCTCCACTGGAGAAAGGATTACATCATGAATAGAGAGCAGGGGTGCTTGATCAAAGGTGGAAGTCAGGTCCTCGACTTTCATGTCTTCCAGTCTTGCCTTCCACAGCGGCCAAATTGTGGCACATGTGCCATTCTCCTGAGCATCTAGACCCATCTTATATTAGCAGTCTGGGTTCAAGAATAATAGAAGTACCTGTCCGCCCAACAATTTGCTCAGCTGCACGGAACACCATGTTGATATTATCATACAAAGTGGCAAAAAGGCCTGTTGATGCTACAGCAGATGCGGCATCCACCATCGAGCGCGAGAGTTGATGGAGGGTCCCTGCTTTTGACTTCAGAAGCTCTTCAATCAGCGGCAATGCATCGCTAGTGGCCGCTTTTTTCTTCTTCCGACGCTGTTTTCCAGTAATTGCATCATAGCTTTCAGATAGACCCAAGTGCGACATCACACTGAGCGGTTGGCGTTGGGAGCCAGTGCTGTACATATACAGGCCAATGACCTTCTTTGGCCAGTTATTGTTGTAACTGTATTCCCCCAACAACGATAACGCGGCCGATGTTACAACCTGTTCCATGGCTTTTATTTAGTAATGACACCAGTTGGATATTCACAGTACTTACCTTTATCTTTTTAGCCATACGCTCTATTGGTGCACTCTTGAGCTGACGAGCCAAGGTTGCAAGAGACTGAAGGATGTTCATGAAGATGGACCCATTGCACGTCAGGTGCGCATATATGGTCTTGAGGTCGAGATTGAGGACTAATGTGCTGTCCACCTTTCGTTTCAGGGTCTGAAGATAGCCTGACTCCGTGATTCTTTGGGCTTCTTGCTTAACCTCCTCTGACATGAAATCTACAGCCCAGGTATGAACTTGTTCCTTTGAAACTGTACTGCCCTTGGTAGCCCAAAGTTCAAGAATTGACGGAACAGATTTCCGGTCTCGAAAAAGACTCTCCCAATGTGCCTGACCTTGGCTGTGAGTTGGATCTGAGACATACTGCACCAGTTGTCCCAATGTATATCCACGGGATGAAAGGGAATCGAGGGTATCATCAAAGAACCTCAGCTTGTGCCTCTCTTTCGCCTGCTCGGCCTCGCTCTGCTGAGCCTTTTCTTCCTCTTGCTGAGCCGCTTGCTCCTCTTTTTTCCGAGCCAGTGTAGCATTGCGCTTTCTCTGGCCTTTCATGCGATTTTTTGCAGCTCGCTCTCCCTTGGTTCTTCCGGTGATTGGAGATGTTGGCTGGAGGCCGTCACTCGACAGTGGAGGCAAGGTATGGACATCAGTCGTGTCAGCAACTTGGGTTTGAAGTAATCCAGGGAGGGGTGGT